GGTGGGGGGGAGGGGAGGGGAGTGTCACAGAGCTTTCTCTATCCCCGATGAGGGCTGTCACCTGTAGGATAAGGATGCTGATCACAGTGGGTGGCCCTCACACTGCTGTGCGGTAGATCCTGTGATTATTGTAGGCCATAGAACGTGGCTCAGAGAGGGTGAGCAACTTCCCCAAGATCACCCAGCTAGTAAGCGGCAGAACTGGGACTTGAACTCGGGTCTGTTCGACTCAAATCCATGCACTTGGACACCAAACCTTCCTCGGGCAGAACCCAGCTGGACAGGTTCCCAAAGGTCTGGCTTTCTAGCCAAGCGTGCTGTTCAACAGGTGAATGGGAGTAATGAGCACGCACCCTGGCTCGCGTTCTTCCCAGCCCCTGCCCTTCGGCGCTGCCCTGGGGAGGCTCAGCTAACCTCTGCCTCTTTCTCTTTGTCTGTCTGTGTCTGTCTGTCCGCCTCTCTCTGCCTCTCTGTGGAGGGGTTTCCCCCTCTTCTCTTCTATCCTCTGGATGTGTGTCCCCTTGGTTCTGCTGTCACCTCCTGTCTGTCTGCTCATCTTGTTGTTCTGTGCCTCCTCTCCCTCCCTGTGCCTCTCCTCATCTCTCTGCAGGACACACCCGTGGATATGGGTGGGGCCCTGGGGCCAGCCCTGCTGCTCACCTCCCTCCTCGGTGCCTGGGCAGGGCTGGGCCTGGGGCCGGGCGAGCAGGCTGTGACGGTGGCCGTAGTGTTTGGCAGCTCGGGGCCGCCCCAGGCCCAGGCCCAGGCCCGGACCCGCCTCACCCCCCAGAGCTTCCTGGACCTGCCCTTGGAGATCCAGCCGCTCACCGTGGGGGTCAACAACACCAACCCCAGCAGCCTCCTCACCCAGATCTGCGCGCTCCTGGGGGCGGCTCGCGTCCATGGCATCGTCTTTGAGGACAACGTGGGTACCGAGGCCGTGGCCCAGATCCTCGACTTCATCTCCTCCCAGACTCACGTGCCCATCCTCAGCATCAGTGGGGGCTCCGCTGTGGTCCTCACCCCCAAGGTGCCCATTCAAACTCATGTCCCCTCGTCCCTTGGGCCTGGAGCCAGGCTGGGGCTGGGGGAGCAGGGCTGAGTCTGAGCCAGGGGGAGACTCAGGCCTTGGGAAGTTGGAATAGGGTGGGACGGACAGGGAGGTGGAGACCGAGGGAGGAGAGGGAGGGAGGAGAAGGCTGTGGGAATGATGTTCTAGAACAGCGGTTCTCAACCTGGGCTGCACATTAGAATCACCTGGAATCTTTTTAAAATCCTGATTTCTGGGCCTCATCCTCCAGAAATTCTGTTTCTTTGTTATGGGGTGGGGCCACAACATTAGTAACAAAGAAACAGAATTTCCGGAGGATGAGGCCCAGAAATCAGGATTTTAAAAAGATTCCCAGGTGATTCTAATGTGCAGCCAAGGTTGAGAACCACTGTTCTAGAAGATCACCATTCTGGGCTGCTCTCACGTGTTGTTCTCCAGATGAGAGGTGGGCAGGTGGCAAGCCCACCTCTGGCTGTGCTGGCAGCCCCGGCTGTGCTACCTTCTCTCTGCTTCTCTGGCCTTCCCTGGTCGGGCTCTAGACTCGGGGGTGGGGGGCCAGGCTGGGCATGGGACCCAGGAGATGTGCCTGCAGGAGAGAGCATCCAGAGGCTGTCACTGTCTGAAGCATGGGGGAGGCATGCCCTCAAAGAGCTTCCATCCTGTGGGGAGAAAGTTCTAGACAACAGTCCACTGTGACTGCGATCACAGGAGAGTGAGTGTTCTGGAGGAAAAACACAGGACACCACAGGGGAGTCAGCGGGCCCGTCTGGGTAGGGGGTTGCTCAGAGAAGGGCTCTTAAGAAAGGATACGGAAGCCGAGGACTGGAGGCAGAGGGGAGGGGGCATGCGGTGTGGGTGTGGCGGGTGGGAGGGAGTGTCCCAGGCAGAGGCAGGCGGCGGGAGCACCAGGAGGTGAAGAACAGAGAGAAGCCTGGAAAGGGGGGTGGAGTCCGGCCACGTGGGAGGGCATTTGGGTTTTGCCCTAAGTGGGGAGCCAAGGAATGTGTTCAGGGGAGCTGATCTGAGTTGCCTTTCTTTATGGTTATTTTTATTACGGAGAGTCTTGAGCACACATACAGGTAGAAGAGCATAGCGACCGGATGTGCCCCCATCCACCCCTGCCCGACCCTGCCCATCCTTACCCCCACCCAGGCCGCCCCTGCTCTTATTAAAACAAAGCCCAGACACCCCATTATTCCATCCATAAATCTTTACGTGTGTATCTCCGCTAGATAAGGGCTTTAAAAGAAACCACCATCTATTATCACATCTAAAAATAATAAAAATTCCTTAACATCATCAAATAGCCAGCCATTGTTCAAATTCCCCCCATTGTCTCAGAAACGCCATAGAAGCTTATTTTTGTTTGTTTGCTTGAATCAGGAGCCAAGTTAGGTTCCCAGGTGGAGTTGGTTGATATGACTTCAGAGTCTGTCTCTAGGCTCCGCCTCCATCTCTCTCTTTTTCCCTTGACATTGGTTTGTTGAAAGAACTGGGTTACCTGCTCTGTAGAGTTTTCCCAAATTTTATTTTCTTTCTTTCTTTTTTTTTTTTTTTTTAAAGATTGGGACAGTTGGAATTCGGTGAAATCTTGGAGGGGCCGCGGTGGCCGCAGGGAACCCTCAGTTAGGGGAGTGGCTGGCAGCCTTAGAGCCGTGGTTTGCAGGGGCCCGGGCTGGAGCTGGCGGTGCCCTGGGCACCGGTGGTGGCGGAGGTGGAGGAGGAGGAACGTTCTCCTCCCCAGGGCTCCGTGGAGGCTGGCCCTTCCCCGTGACCTTTGGGCCCGATGTCAGCTCTCAGCCCGGTGGTTCTCCACCCTCAGTTCTTTCGAAAGACCCTACAGCCAGCGCCCCAACTCCGAGACTGCGATTCGGTTGGTCTGGAACAGCGCTTCCCAAACCAGGGGGCTCGAGAATCACCCGAAGAGCTTGTTGAAATACAGATTCCCGGGCGCCACCCCCCAGAGATTCTGATCCAGCAGGTGGGCGAGGCGCCCCAGAATTTGCATTTCCACAAGCTCCCAGGTGACGCTGACACTGCTCCAGGGCGGGCCGGGCAGGAGCGTGTAGATCACCTGGATCTAATGGGCGGCCGCGGTTAGGAACCACGTCTGGGGCGGGAGGGCGGTCTTGCGGTGCAGGGCCTCCCCGGACTCAGCGCCAAGGCATCTAAGGGCTGACCTAGGGCGCTGTCGATGGGGGGCGGGGCGGGGCTCGGCTCGCCCCGCCCCTCAGGCCCCGCCCCTCCCCCAGGAGCCGGGCTCCGCCTTCCTGCAGCTGGGCGTGTCCCTGGAGCAGCAGCTGCAGGTGCTGTTCAAGGTGCTGGAGGAGTACGACTGGAGCGCGTTCGCCGTCATCACCAGCCTGCACCCGGGCCACGCGCTCTTCCTCGAGGGCGTGCGCGCCGTCGCCGACGCCAGCTACCTGAGCTGGCGGCTGCTGGACGTGCTCACCCTGGAGCTGGGCCCCGGCGGGACGCGCGCGCACACCCAGCGCCTGCTGCGCCAGATCGACGCCCCGGTGCTGGTGGCCTACTGCTCGCGCGAGGAGGCCGAGGTGCTGTTCGAAGGAGGCGGCGCACGCCGGCCTGGTGGGGCCCGGGCACGTGTGGCTGGTGCCCAGCCTGGCTCTGGGCAGCACCGACGCGCCCCCCGCCGTCTTCCCCGTGGGCCTCATCAGCGTGGTCACCGAGAGCTGGCGCCTCAGCCTGCGCCAGAAGGTCCGCGACGGCGTGGCCATCCTGGCCCTCGGCGCCCACGGCTACCGGCGCCAGCACGGCGCCCTGCCCGCCCCGGCTGGGGACTGCCGCGGCCACCCCGGGCCGGTGAGCCCTGCCCGGGAGGCCTTCCACAGGTGGGCACCTGCCCGGGGCAGGGGGCGCGCGCTTCAGGGGACCTGGGTGGCGGTGAGCTTGGTCTCGCTGGCTCCACCTCTCCCTGGCTGTGTGCCTGGGACCAAGTTACCTCACTTCTCTGGGCCTTAGCTTCTTAAAAACAACAACAAACAGATAGGGGGTGTGAGGGTGGGTGAGAATGGTGGCTGTCAATACAGGGAAACAGAAGCCACAGTAAATGCTCCCTGTTGTCAGGTGGTGAGGCAGGTGGGGGGCGGTGGCTGCAGGCAGGGCTAAGGGAATGCCCGGCTTCTCCCCCGCCTACAGGCACCTCCTGAACGTCACCTGGGAGGGCCGGGACTTCTCCTTCAGCCCCGGCGGGTACCTGGTCCAGCCCACCATGGTGGTGATCGCCCTCAACCGGCACCGCCTCTGGGAGATGGTGAGAAGGGGGTGAGCCCGGGGCCCTCCGTTTCCTCTCACCGTGTCCCCGCCCCCTCTTGTGCCCACAGCTGAGCAGAGAGTCCCTTCTGTCCCTCATCCAGCCCCTCATCCCCAGGTCTCAGCTGAAACATCTCCACGGGAAGCCTTCCGGGTCCCCAGGTTGGGTGAGGCCCCTCAGCTCTGGGCTCCCACACACCCGGCCCCCCTCCACTGAAGAACTTACCTTATCACATAGACCTGCCCCTGTGGGAGGAGTAACCCACAGCTGTGCTGGCCAGGCTGACATGTAAACAAATAGAATTTGGGGAGATGGGGGCTTGAGTAGAGATGCGTGCAAAGCATTATGGGAGTAGAGAAGAGAGGCAGGAATTAGTTCTGCTTTTATTTATTTATTTTATTTATTTATTTTATTTTTTAAATATATTTTATTGAATTTTTACAGGGAGGAAGGGAGAGAGATAGAGAGTTAGAAACATCGATGAGAGAGAAACATCGATCAGCTGCCTCCTGCACATCTCCTACTGGGGATGTGCCCGCAACCCAGGTACATGCCCTCGACCGGAATCGAACATGGGACCTTTCAGTCCGCAGGCCGACGCTCTATCCACTGAGCCAAACCGGTTTCGGCTAGTTCTGCTTTTAAAGGAGGAAACTGGGGGAGGCGTCACAGCAGTTGGGACATTGGGGCTGGGCTGTGGAGGGGTGAGTAGGAGCCCACCAGGAAGGGATACTAACCTGGTATAGACACAGGAGCAGCAGGGTGTGTGGCATTTTTAAATGATGAGGAAGAAGAGTGGGGTGCTGGGTTAAGGGCTTTATACTAAGTTCAGGAAAATGAGTGAGAGGCTCAGGTGTGGGCTCTAGGCAGGTGCTGGGCACCGGCAGCTGTGTGGAGGCTGGACGGGAAAGTTTGGGGACCGGAGCGGGAGGAGGCTGCAGGGAGCCCTCCCTGTGGCCCATGCTCAGCCCCTTGCCCTGACCCTCCTGTTCAGCAATGTCCCGCCCCAGGCCCTGCTCTGTCCTGCTCCAAGCATCTCTCGTGTGGGACGGGGATTCAGGCCCTGGCGGCCCCCCCAGAGGCCTCACAGAGGGTGGGAGTCCTAGGGCTGGAGGTCCCGGGCTCAGGCCCGTCACCCTCTGCAGGTGGGGCGCTGGGACCACGGCGTCCTCCACATGAAGTACCCAGTGTGGCCTCGCTACAGTGCGTCCCTGCAGCCCGTGGTGGACAGCCGGCACCTGACGGTGGCCACGCTGGAAGAGCGGCCCTTTGTCATCGTGGAGAGCCCGGACCCTGCCACCGGCGGCTGTGTGCCCAACACCGTGCCCTGCCGAAGGCAGAGCAACCACACCTTCAGGTCGGTGAGGACTAGCGGGAGGCGGGGAGCCTGCGCTGCGGTGGGATGGCAGGCGCTCCGCGTGGAGAGCCGGGCAGGGAGGAGCTGCTGGCTGACTCCTGGCGCTCTCGGTGGCAGCAGCGGGGACACAGCCCCCTACACCAAGCTCTGCTGCAAGGGCTTCTGCATCGACATCCTCAAGAAGCTGGCCAAGGTGGTCAAGTTCTCCTACGACCTGTACCTGGTGACCAATGGCAAGCACGGCAAGAGGGTGCGCGGCGTGTGGAACGGCATGATCGGCGAGGTAGGCCTGCCCCGGGGTCCACCTGAGCCGCCCGCCAGCCCTGCTGCCCAGCCCCCCCCCCCACCCCGCTCAGCACCCCAGCTGTCCTAGGGGGTTTCCTCCTGTGCTGGGGATCCTCAAGAAGAGCCCCGCCCAACCCTTCGGACTTCCAGCTGTCAGGGGGAACCGGGCTTCACCCACGAAACCCCTGGGGTGGTGAGCCTGCAAACGGACTCTGAGGGCCCAGGGGGGGGAATGACGGGGCTGGTGGTGCTGGAGGGGGGAGGAGGCGGGGAGAGAGCGCCAGTGTGGGAGCCCCCCCCCCATGGCGCCAGGTGTACTACAAGCGGGCGGACATGCCATCGGCTCCCTCACCATCAACGAGGAGCGCTCCGAGATCGTGGACTTCTTCGGTGCCTTCGTGGAGACGGGCATCAGCGTGATGGTGGCGGAAGCAATGGCACCGTGTCCCGTCGGCCTTCCTGGGTGCG